CCATGAGAGTATTACGGCTCGATCGAGTATGGAACCTTGGCTTTGTTTTAGTCTTTATTAGTTGAGGCTAAGAAAAGAATATCGGTCGACATTGAACAGGAATGAGACTCAGGCTAAATAAATGAGGCATACTTCGTCTGCGTAGAGAACATCAAGTTCGAAAGCGAAAAACAAGGGAGGCAATCGAGGCGGGCATATAAGTATAAAATGGCAATCGTCGGACCCTTTCTGTAGCGGATCTGCATTTCATGAAGAGTTACTCGGACGTAAAACTACTGACTAGGAATGGGGCAGGACAGTAATAATTGATCAAGAACGGTCTGGAGGTAGCTTCTCCAAGATTGTGATATTGGTTTAGGGACTTATAAATGCACTCGCTAAAATAACATCAAGAGGTAATTAAGATGACATTGTCGATTGAGGCCTCTTTCGAAGAATATATGTAGCGTAAGCTGCGGCACAAGTGTTCGACTTCCTCGATAGAAAAGTAGGACCGGTGGATTGATTGAATAATCACATGAGTAATTAAAGTGGGGTATGGATGGAGATACCGCTCCATTGTTCAGAATCCAAGCAAAAGAAAGAGTTGTAAGGACGGAAACTTCGAGTTGTGAGGATGGTGAAAACACAGCTGAGGACTTTATATGGCTAGCGAGAAGGTAATTTAGTGTGAGAGCTGGCAATCTAAGCCAGTTGGTAGCTCGGGCCATGTTGGTTTAACCTGATACTCCCCAGCCACACTGAATTCAGTTTAAGTGGAAAAAGCCATATCCATCTGGTTCAGTCACTTTTTCGCTATTCCCCATGACCTCCATCAGGAAAATGAGTATCGTTTTGCAGGAACTGATACTAACACGTCTCCCGAGTAACTGAAAATTATAAACAACCACAAGAACCTTTCACCTATGTCCGCTGTTACCCGTCAACCCGTGTGATTTTTATTACTTCTTCCTTTTTCCGCTTCAACCCTCCAGTCCAGCTGCGGCTGACTCACTACATTGTCTAAGGAGCAGTGACGACTCACGCTACGCCCTCGATGGACTCATATTTTTTTCTTCATGCTGCTGAAAATACACTGAAAATACTCCTGCGCCAGTCACAGCTACTTCAACAGACTCAACTGGTTCAACGGATCCCGCACACATGTCGTAAATACACAAAGTCTTCATTCCAGTACCGCAGCCATCATGCCCAAACAAAACCACGTTTCAGTTGTTCGCCAAATCTCTGCTTTTTTTACCGAAGCGTCCTGATCGCGCAAGCTAGATTATCGCTTGCCATTGGGTCCATGGCAAAAATCTAAATTGCAAACTCCCTTAGAGTGCTACTCATTCATGATCCAAGTCCAATTATCTTTCCCACGATGGCCACCCGCTCCTGTACAGTACAAACACTACCCAGTTTGGCAGGGATGAATGCCGTTCACACTCTCGAAGACAAGCAAGATTACCCGTTTCCATCTAAAACAATGTTTCTGCAATATAAACATGCTTCTTTCCAGCCAAGCTTGAGTAGGTTTCATGGTCCCCATTTTGATGTCCTTAGTTAGTCCCACTACCTCGTTAGTTCATGGTCATCTCATTTTCGCTGCGCCTATCTTTCGCAGTTTAAAACTGTCAATTGTTATTTTTACTTTGCCCTAGTGATACTGCTTCCATCATCCATGTTCAATTTTTCTCAGCCACCACTGTCGCGCATGCTTCTACTTGCCGATGTCCCTATGTTCACCGAATTCATATCGTGCAAAATTGTCACACCCTACTTTTTTTGGACCGTACTCAGTTCTATAAATTGGCTATAGCGGTTACATAAATTGTATATTTTTCATGCATATCCTTGTAATGTACTACTCATAAGGTTGCTGAAAATCCGTCAAAAGCCCACGACCGATTTCGCTCTTCGACTTTGGGCTGGCTCNCTCATCAGGTAGGCGCAGTCCCCGGGATTCCGTCAACCTTATGTTCCACTGGAAACCTAATTGCACCAAATTAGCGAATATACACTGATCTGCAAACTAATTTGGTTCTTTCGAGAGACTCACCTTTAGCCCAGCTGAATCTCTCGTTTATGATGTTCCCAGGCAACTGAATGTGCTGCACCAAGCCGCCTCATATTTCATTTAGAGCCCACCGTAGTTGGCACGAAATGGGGATCGTATTAACAACAGGTTATATTTGTTCGCATGCACCAATTATGAGAAAACATCCTGCGCTGACAGCGATTTCATATTATTCATGCTTGTGTATGTCCAGTAGTTGAAACATGTGGTGTTGATGGCGGGCGACCCATATTGCCCATCGGATTTAGCTATCGTACATAGCCGAGACCCAAAAAATTTCTGATAATTATCATATTCCGCCCGGTGCATCCAGCAATTATTTGCAAAGTGCTTCCAGTTTGAGAATGTCTCTTACCAGGTCTGTTGTAAATAACGGAGGAGGCACTGAGCATCCCTTTTACACTCAGCAGATTTCACCAGCAATGCATATCCTTGGCCATACCGACTTTCCAACCGCAATAATCCGAAGTGCGAGCCCAGCGTGGCCCCACTACTCCTCCACCGCACACTGGAAGCACATGAATCTTCATGTCTAAACTGGAAAACAATTAATGTGAATGTGAAAGATAAAACTCCACAACACCACACAGCAAGATCTGAAATTGTCTGCCGGGTTTCAAGCGTCTCTGGCACTGCCTGACTTGGATGTCCTGACGGGTGGGTCAATCAATCGTTAAAACAAGGTTATTTCACTGGGCCGTGAATTGAGGAAACAGGCGTACCAGTCAGATAATGCAAGCGCAAACATGTTCCCCCTTTCGGACGTAAAAATTCAAATGTGTCCAGCGCGCCGTGATGGATTATTGGTAATACGCTCACCTTGCATGTCGGCTGTCCGGGACGACCGTAGGATACGCCATGCAGGCGATCTCCAGTGGGAGAAAAATTCCAGACTACTATCACTTTTCTTAGTGGGGACTTATCATATAACAACTTCAGGACGGGAGGAGGGTTGTCCAAAAGGGAGTGACGTGAAAGTGAACGACATGGATCCCACAACCGCACACATCAAGCTTTTAAACAAAATGTTCCCTTGTGAAATCTGCGTTATCTCTCAATCAATTCCGCACATCTCTGATTTGGCGTTATGGACGGAGATGCGTATTAGCCTCAACATGCTAAAACACAAAATTTAATACACATCACGACGTCAACTTTGCAGGCAAAAATGTCTCGGCGAACTTCTACTAACCAGTTCATCCAATTTATCGCATTAGCCTAGTGGAATAGATTGAAACATGATTCAGGTACCCAATGGAGTCAAATAAGTGCTGGAAAGTGCGTAAAAGTTGTTTCAGATTTTAAAGACATCTAACAACTCTAGGCTTTAGAGTATCATTGGCCAAGGCTTAGTGAAATCTCTCGTCCACAACAGTCGGTGGCGTTGGAATTTCGGTCAAATGAACAAACCGTTTTGAGCGATCTACCAAGAATACGCGCTATCGGACTGTTGATCTCATTTCGTAACCCTTCCAAGATAGTTATTCACGTTGCACCTGCAAGGCAGTTCAGATAATTTTGGGATGATTTTCGGGTGTCCTCATTTTAGCAAGTCTGTTGCCCGGCGCCAAGAATCTGGCGAGGGGCGCTTCGCCATTTGGCTACATATGCCATTCATGTGCACGGGAACCGCCAAACGAAAAGAACCTAACGGACCTGGGAAGCTTGTACAAAAGCTTCCGTCCCGCATACCAGTCCGTGGATGCGTGGATCGGTGGCCCAATCTACATGGAGAATAACACATATCGCCTTTGCGGATTGCTTACAAAACATCACCGGCTTGAGCTGCAAAGGCAATTACAGTCTATCGGGTTCCGCTGACTACATTGGAAGCTACAGTGATTAATGAAGAGAGCTGCTTTCCTGACAACCTTGTGTATGCAGTCACAAAGCAGAATTCAGTGGTTTGGCTGCCTCAAAAAGCAAATTCACCAGGAGTGTGTGACAAAGAAATAAAGAAATAAAGAAAGAAATAAAGAAATAAAGGAATAAAGAAAGAAATAAAGAAAGAAATAAAAAACACTAGTTTGTGTATACAGTAATAAAGAGGCCAGATGGGGCAGACTCACCAAGAATCGTTCTCTTTAAAAAAGTTCGTCGTTGGCCCAGGTCAGCGAATGAACAGCAAACCCATCAAAGTTAGCCAGGAATCTTCTTCTAAACAGTTCTCATTCACAGATTCTGAATGTATTCTGAAGTGTTATGATACCGGAGTTAGCACAGGTGACTCGCGAATGACCACTGTAAGCGCGAGAGAAATCAGGAGAATAGAAGCACGTGACCACGTTTGTATTGCGTGGAATCCTACAGGTGCGCGGTTTGGAAGTTTGTCTTATTCAAACAAAAAACGGCTATGCAATAGACAAAATAGATAATGTTACAGTCGTAGCAAAAGTAAGATGCAAAATACTATAGACACATGTCTGGCCGAAATGACCCATGAGTTCTGTTCCTTCTGAGTGCAAACGGAGTCGGAACCCGATTATCTGGTCCAGACTGAGGGGAATGCACTTATAACAGAATACCCATTATTATCTATCGCTAACCGACTTACTCAGTGAAACTAATTAGAAGGACTGAACTTCGAGGTCGTCCGCGAAATACCTTCCGAGCTTGACCAATCAAATCCTAACAATTAACCTGTCTCTCAGCCGAGCCTCGGTTGCCTTTATCGATCGCTCATGGCCACAGACGGATCTGGTGATAAGATCATAATGTGGACTGGGGTAAGAGTGTCAAAATATAAATACAAGAAAATTTCGGTTTTCAGTTCGTCAAATGTGGGTATGCTGGGTCAAACTTCCCTGAACATATATTCCCTTCGATGACTGGCCGCCCTATGCTTCGGGCTACTTCGAATATCGGGAATGTTGAAATGCGGGATATCATGATTGGGGATGAGGCGAGTGAACGTCGTTAGCTTCTGGAAATTTCATACCCCATGGAGAATTGGATTGTCCGTAACTGGGATGATATGATACTCCTCTACGACTACATTTTTGGCCCAAAGAAGATGAATGTCGATCCCAAACATTCGAAGATCCTACTGACGGAACCACCGCTGAACCCTCTAAAGAACAGGGAGAAGATGGTTGAAGTTATGTTCGAAAAATACGGGTTTAACGCTGTCTACATAGCCATCCAAGCGACTCTCGCATTATATGCACAAGGTGAGCAATAAACTTTGTCCCTAACATTCACGATGACTGAGATTCTTGACCGGTTGAATCGCAGACTCTAGCTGCGCTTGATTCAGCTTCACAACTTCACCCGGTTGGCGCCTAATTAACGCTTAGCCTATGAAGACAGTGCGATGGTCCATGATACACTTTGTTATCAATCGTGAATCATCTCATCCAACCAAATTAGTGCCTGGGAGCAAAGCCCAAACGAACATTCCATCCGCTCTTCAAGGCCGGTTGACATCGGTGTCCGCAATGTCAGATCACCTGTTCAGCACACCAAGTAGCATTTTATGTCCCATTCGGCTACAAATCCCTCCATTTTTACCTGGAATTCATCGATTCAAACAGATTGGCCTGCTGTCATTACCGGCATACAAATGTTAGGATGTGATATCTCAACCGTGGTGTTTCCAACCGCGGCGAAAGCTGTAGCTTTGATGCTCCAGTGATTGTCTGACACATTGAAACATGCTCAATGTGATCGGATTTCGGTTTAGGACAGGTTCATCAGAGGTCATCCAATGGCACTCAGCCTAAGTCCTTATCGGACGCTCTATATGAACGTGATTTTTTAAATGAGAAATTCTGTTATCTAATCGTATCTGTTGTCTGATGGTACTAACCCGAAGCGTGAATTTTTTGAGGACGAACTTCCGCCCCTTTCCGTCATTCCTCCAAGTTACCTACTCTTAACTCATTTCGAGTTTCATTTTCGGGTGGTTAGAAGCGAAACATGATTGAACTCTGCACACCTGATGTGTCAACCTTGTTCAGTTCTGTTGACAACGCCAGTTTTTACAGTAGTTAATTAGTGGGAAATGTGTTTTTTGGATGTCGGATCGCCTTTCAGTTTTGTGGTTCAGTTAATCTCCCGTTGCTACTTCTATGACGCAAGCTATTCGACGTTTCAAAGTTTACCATAAAGGCTTCGTATTGAGCCAGTACTTATGGTCCCAAAGATGCGTCGTTGCAGGCGATCAATGATACTTTCATCTTCTGTTGCGTAAGTTTATCTTTGTAGTTACTCTGTGATGACCAAACTAAGTTTTCCTGATTTGGAAACTTACGCGTTTCGATAAAAAATCCTGGCCTCCCGGGCAACATATTCAACATTTCCAACTAGCTATTTTTCCACTGCTACCTCAGCAGTCTTAATCATGTCTTAATCACTGACTTGGGAGCGTACTAATGCAAGTTACTTTTTACGCCACATTTTCCTTCGATGGATGTTCATCACGGTTATCGTATCTAAATAACAGTTCATCATAATCATTTTTACCACCGGTAACAAAACTTTCGTGCCTGTTATTACGTCCGCCATAATACGGAGTCATCATCGTCACCATGAATAACATGACATCGCTGTTCAACACGGATATTTCGCTGCCGCACAACCATGATTTATCTGAAGGCCTTATGGTGAAGATTAGGATAAAGATGGACATCGTAAGGACTACAATTATTCTGAGGTGCTCACACCTACAGACACATTCAGACAATCCAGTTAGGAGCTGACAACACGAACACCATTGACATCGATTGACAGTCATGTCTTGCAGCGTCTTCAACCAAGCGCATTTGGGGTCACGCGGTCCCCACCCTAAAAGGCGGTTAACACCGACAACACCCAAACGTTTCGTAATCTCTTCCATACACCTCTGCCAGCTCAAAGGCTGGCTACCTCTAGTTATATCTTTCTGAGTCGGGCATGGGAAACAGCACTCTCTTCAACAAATGATAGTTCGGCATACGCAATGCATGATTTAACCAACGCAGCTTCTGGTGCTGGTCACGCTCTTCAGTGAAGGTGCTCGTTGCACAACCGAAAACTCGCTTTCTAATAATCTCATCATGAATTCGCCGGCGCCAACCCACGCGAGCTATGGCCACGACACAGAGATTCTCGAATACCTGAAGACGTCTCAGTTCCACTGTTGGGATAGGCCAAGTTTCGCAGCCATACAACAAAACAGTCCGTACCGTAGCCTGATACACATTCCTTGAGATTCAGGGATATAGCGCCTTGACGTCAAATGTGTTTCAAATTAACAAACACAACCTGGGCCTTGCAGATTCATGCATTGTCCTCATCAGCCACACTACAATCAGAGTTAATACAACTTCCAAGATGCGTAAAACGCTCCAAAACTTGAGCGTCTCTCCCTGAATTGTAATTGGCTCGTTTCTTGCCTGCATGTCACGGTCTCATCTGAGATTTAGTGTTTGGATGAGTTTTGCTGGGTTCTACTTCAGACAGACTTGGTAGCGCATTGGATATTTGTTTCCAGTGGCCGTTACTATCTGACATCGGACCAACCAGCAGGCGTTCGAGGAACAGGTTTTGATAGGTGTGTGCTAAGATGACCACCGAATAGGTCAGTGCTAATCTTACCTACCTGGGCGTTCATGCCAGCAGCAACCACAGCGATGTCTGAGCTTTTAGCCTGTTGTAAAAGAGCATCCAGGTCGTCATAGAAACTGTCTTTGGCAGATTCAAAACTAGTCAGTTGTAGCGTAAGCAGACGCAACAGGTTGCGATGGACCTCGCCTTTTCAAAACTCTCTCAAAGACGTTGCCGAATAAACCACGCAGAGGCGACCATCAACGGGTATCCATTCAGTTAGAGGCACTTCTATTCAATGACTCGACCCCACTCACCCAAGCATATCCAGCTGCGGCAACCTCCGCGTTACCAGATGTGTGCAGCTGGAAGCTGGAAGAGAGCGACAGAACACTCAGTTCAATCAGTGCAAATGGAATAGAGCGTACTAACAAAATGCCACTAGTTGTCCTCCTTGCTTCAGTTTGCGAATACTAAGGGCAGTTGGGTTTGGAAATAGTCTTCGAAGTGTTTAGGTCGTGTGTACAGAAGCTGAAGTTGGGTGCAATGCACAGCTAGCAAAGCAGTCAATCCTAGTATTGGGACGTGCGAAGCAAAAAATCACTCAGCTGTGACACACTTCCGGTGCCTAGCTGCCATGCTACCTGAAGGAAGCAGGAGGGCTGGGATACTGCCAGATTGCCCAAGCCTAGACAAGAGAGGTCGAGAGTCAGAGGTCGGGTTCGAACCACGGACCTTCCGGTCGGTAAATTCGCACTCCAACCACTTGAGCCATCTCGACCCCACGTGCGCAGTGTTCCAGTAGAGGTGGGGTATGGTAGAATGGGGAATACGTGAAAGTGTAAGATGGGCCGCGTCAGCAGTAGCATGTGTTCGCTTATCCGCCCTGCTGTATGTACCAATAATGGCGACCTGGCTTTGACGGTCGTTGGGGACACGATAGTACTGTTGGTTGTAAGAATCATGTTTGTACATGGGCTGGGATACTCTCAGGACATCCAGATCTATACGAGAAAACGATTAGGGCTCTCGACCAGTGCCTTTGGCTTAAAAGCCTAGCGGATAATGTAAGCACATTATCATTTTTATAGGTCACACATGTTCTAACTCCCAACCTGGAGGACCAGAAGACTATTTGGATAGACTTCCAGCCATTCGTCATCCTGGTAGGAGAGGCTTAGTGTCGAGATGACACTGTCAGTACAGCTCAGTGGGCCGCGGATGTACACAAACCGTCACACAACGGTAAGGTCCAGTCTCTTCGTGGCGGATGTTGTACTGCAAATTGGAATCCTCTTTTGAGAATTTACATTCTGTTGCACCAGCGCTTGCATTTCATTATTAATGACTGTTTCAGTTCAGTGCATGGTGCCTTCTGTTCCGTTTATGACTTTCATCCACGCCGACCGGCAGTAGTTGAAGAAACCCTGCAATTATAGCGAGAGTGATAATCATTCAGCTGACAATGATGATGAGGATGAACACCCTTTCGGTGCCTAGCTGTCATGCCACCCGAAGGAAGCACGAGGACTGGGGTACTGCCAGGTTGCCCAAACCTAGAGAGGGGAAGTCGAGAGGCAGATGTCTGGTTAGAGCCACGGACCTTCCAGTCAGTAAATTTGCGCTTTAACCACTTGAGCACTCTCGCTCCGTGGTGTGACGGTGGTAGGTTAGCCTGGGCCTACTTCCACATGCTGTCTAACCTTTCTGAAAGGTCATGTTTACCTCTTTCTGAAGACAACGTCGTACTTCACATAACATTTTCTTGAAGAGAATTCCGATGGAGATCTGACACGTTATTTAGGTTTTAAGTTACTGTTGTTTTGTGCCTTCATTATTTCCTTTGGCTTATAAATAGTGTTCACCTTTAGCAACCGAATTTCACTTTGAGGGTTATCACAAATAGCCTGATCATCATTGCCCTTCGGTATGTGAACTCACTGGTTTCGTTTTTCAACAGGTGATACACTCAGTTCTTTTCCAACGTCAAAAAGCCTCTGCCAGTTTTCTTTCCCGTCCGTTTTCTATACACAGGACTGATGACTGGTGTGGTTGTCGATTCTGGAGACGGTGTAACGCATGTTTGTCCTGTTTACGGTGGTTTCTCCATACCATGCCTGACCAAAAGATTGGATGTCGCTGGACGGGATATCACCCGGTATCTGATTAAGGTCAGAATTTTTCAGTGGTTAATCTGCTTTCGAAATATCCTTATATCTGATTGTTTTAAACACGAATGAAGTTACTAGTATGGATTGTTGACCCTTCTCTTACTGTAAACGTTGAGCGAAAACCATATATTTTGGCTCAATGCAAGGTCCCGTTTTGCGCCTATTCGTAGATCCCCAAACAACTTTGCGAGAATAAACACCAGTCACGCTTCTTAACTAAACTTATCACTATTTTATAGACTGTGTTGCTTTTTTATGACAACTGTTTATTTAGAAAGGTGATTTGATTTTTCCCTTTTGGGATGCCCAACTTGAAAACCGTATCGTCACCGAGGCATCTTCATCTTTTTGAGAGAACTTGTGTTCCGGTTTTGTCTCCACTCGACCAAAGTCATATCATTCTGCTGTGGCATACCTTCGGTGTCCACTTACGATACTTGAGGTAGTTGAGCGATTTAAGTTCACCTCTGACTGTTCGGTCAATTCCATCTAGGACAACTTGTTTGTGCTTCCTTTGGGTTGCATGTTGTTTAAATACGAACTAACTTGCGAAAAAATTGGAACCGCAGGAAGTGTAAGAAGTAACTTCGGTGCTTTATGATAACCGATATTCCCCATAGACTGAGTCGGCTTTGGAGATGTTGCGTACACTTGCTACCCTTCAACAAACTGACGCCTGTTTATGGTCCCAGCAACTACTTCCACACGCCGTTTAATGGTAAACTGTAATCAGGTTATTAGTTGTCTCCCGAGATAACAGTACTGTTCAGGAAAGGACTATACGAATTTGTAAAGCGTGTTTAGGCTTTCGGAGATGTAAAAATCGTTCAGCCGGAACATTCTTCCGGGGCCTAGCTGCCATGCCACCCGAAGGAAGGAAAAGGGCTGAAGTACTTCGAGGTTGCCCAAGCCTAAACTAGAGGAGTCGAGATGTATAGGTCGGGTTTGAACCACGGAACTTTCGGTCAGTAAATTCGCACTC